TATTAAAATAATCATTTTGCACCAATCATACCTCCTTTAAACGTGCCGAAACCGTACGGATTTGTTCCTCGTACGAATCTTCACGTTGTAGAGCTTTTTCTTCAGATACTTCCAGAGATTTCAAATTATTGCCAACAACACGAAGCTCTTCTTCCAATTCCACAATTTTGCTGCACAAATAACAAATAGAAATATGCAGACAAAGAGAAAAAAAACCACCAAAGAATAAGCTCGTAAAAGAGGAAAAAAAATCAAAAATTGAATTTGAATTGAAAATTGTTCGCCAAAATTTGTTGATATTACCAATTAATAAAATTTTAAACTGAAAAAAAAACTATGTCAAATAATATGTATCTTTTAATGTATAGCTTGATTTTCATTAATTAAGCGTTTTTTTTAACATACAACATTTAACATTTACCAATACTACTTATTACACTTACATTTCACAATACACACAACAAAACAATAGCAACTTTTCCGACAACCACAAAATAGCATCCACCACTTGCTAGCGATGAGATCAGCGGCATCATATTTTTCCTTTACTTTACTTATTTGTAATTTCATTTATATGGCTTATCTCTTCAATGAGATGATATTTGCTTTTGAAATTATAAACCTCTTATAAAATTATAGATCATTCGAAATTATAGACTTAGCATTTAAATTAATTAACAATTTATTGCTCCCCGTCCCCGTTCATTTTTTTTGCTAATTATTGGCTTCCTTCAATACTTTTAATTGACTGATTTATTTTAATCAACCAAACTACTGCTTATTTTTTCATAATAGAACAAATTACACTTATTTCAATCTACGGATGGTTTTTTAATCTGCCAAAAAAGCTGTATTCAACTCAATCAGAAAAAAACATTCTAATCTCTAAATAATAACCTATTTATTAAAATTAGCATTTATTTCAAATAATGTAATAGTAAAGTAAAGTTTTATGATCAAGTACAAGATTATAAAATTTATCTTTCACTATCACCTCAGCATTACAACTTCGAATTAAATATTCATTATAAGAATCAAATTTTTCTTTTAAAAAAAAACTTCATCTAAAGATTTAGTCTTCTCTCATACTAGCTTTCCCGAATGCTAAACGATTGTATTCGTTTAAAAAATATCATCAAAGATATTTAAAAAATTTATTATTTTTCTCAATTAATTTTAAAATTCCCATAAATAATGATTTTAGCAACAGCCACACAATATTTATTTATTTTTTATTATATTTTGTTTTTTTTGTTTTTCCATGAAAAATTGATGACGAGAAATAACAAAATTATTTGATTCTTCTCTCAAACAATTAATCAATTAAAAAATTACAATTATTTACTTAACTAGAGTAAATCTAGTCATTAAATCTGTTATGACTAAATACCGCTGACCCCACAATATTTTCACCATTTTCACCTCTTTAATCCGATTCTGTAAGCTTTGTATATGATCGGAGAAAGAATTTTCACGTTGCAGAGCACGTTCCTCATGAACTTCCAATGTTTTCAAATTCATTCCCACAGCAACCAATTCCCGTTCCATTTCACGTGCTTTTCTGTTGTTTCATTCAAATCAACACATTATTCCAAAAAAAATTTTTTTTCGAAAAAAAAGTCAAATAGTCCAACACCAACCTAATGTATGCGATAAAACAGATAGATATCTGATATAATCGATAACTTATAATTTAAAATGGAATTTTCATTTAAGATTTATGCATTTGTGTTTTTCAGAATGAAGTCCATTTTTATGTTAAGAATTAGCAGTATACGAGTAATTATTTCTTCTCAAATCCAAAAATAAATTCCATATTAATTGCTAATTAACTACATTATTGTTAAGATCTATGACTAGTAATGACTTCTGATTTCTACTAGAGAATATCTGTAACCATATTAGAACTTCTTACTTCTGTAACCATATTAGAACTTCTTACTTTCTATGCAGAGAGAAAGGGAGAAAAAAAAACCTTCCAATAAGGTAATTAATTCACTCTATTATCTCCGATATTATTTATATATAATTACCTTTAATTACCAGAATAACTTATCATCAGTCAGTTTCATTAATACCTCCAAGTTTTGAGAAACCTGGAAGGTTATTTGAAATAAATTTATCACAACTTACTTGATCTAATCTAAAAAAATGAGATGGAACAAAAAAAATAAATCGTAGACATACGCGCACAATAGGTCACATATTTCACATTAATATTTTGCACAATAACTTGACCTTTTTCAAAATTAAAAAAGAAAATAACGAAAAAAAGAAAGTTGATAAAATTTGTTAAAAACTAACTTTTCACCGGCTTCAGCGCGTTCTTCAGCTCGTTCCAAATCCGCTTCAACCATAGCTAATTTACGAGCTACCTGAAAGTAAAACAGCTGATCTAAAGAAATAATACAAATGAAATATTTAAACAAGATGGATTAGTAATTCTTTTCACAGCAAAATGAAAAAAAATTGGTAAGCGAAAAATAACATAATGTAGTAATAAAAATTTTACAAAACAATATAACACTACAAAAAAGCACAAATAGGGACATACAGTTTTAAGCTATTTCACCATAAACAATCATAATTATCCGATCAATAATAGGCATGGTACGATGGTAAACCGAATTACACTGTGAATAACATATTCAAAATAAGCTATCTATTAAACTGTTCCGGTTTTAATCTAATCAAATAATTCATTATAGGCTCTCAATATAGACCAAACTTTTTTAACCTTCTTACAGTTTCTGAACTATTAATTTTTTCCATGTCATATAAATGTTACACTTTCAATAAAAGATTGCATATTCAAATGAGATCGTAGTATATAACGCACATAAAATGAATAAAAATTTGTCATTTTTAAAAAGTTAAATGAATGCAACAAAAATTTCGAGATTAAACTTAACAAAAAATTAACTTCAGAAAACAAACAAACAAACAAACAAACAGAGGAGGATTAGTAACAAAAATAATATCCGAATTAACAATAAATCATCAAATAACGAAAAGATGATTTCTTTCAGCAAATTAAAAAACCAGTATTAATGCAATATTCGAAGTACATTTCGTGAATAATGAAATCTGAAAATTTCAGATAGAATCATTCCTTTCTGGTATAATGAAACGAACCAAAAAAAAAAAATTAATTCAAATAATCTATTTACTATGCACCAATAAATTAGGAAATTCAACATTGGAATTTTAATCTTTAACAAACAAATCTTACACATAATAATTTTCCTAGGATATTAGATGCACTATAATACAATTTCGAAAATATTAATGGAAAAAAACCTATACTTATTTCATTTCATCAATTCTATTAATACAAAGTTTATATCGATAATCTAACTTAGCTAAATTAATAATGTTCGTTTAAAATTTCAGTAAAAAATATGTTCCATTGTGTAAAATATCTATCAAATAATAGCTAATTATCGGCATCATCAGCATGAAATTTTTTAACAATAATATAATAAATTTTAAGCAAAATGAGTAAATAAATTAGAAAAAAAATATTGATAAAATGCGCATGCATGCTAATCGTTTATTGTTAGTTTTTTATTTTTTATTTTTTTAAAAAGACACAAAATTAAAGCACTCTATTATTCTAATTATTAAGTTAATAATATTATTATTTTAAAAAAAAGGATATTATTTGGATGGAGAAAAAATTTACAACAAATTAGTAGTAACATTACATCATTTCATCATTTCTCTCTTTCTCTTTCTCTCTCTCTCTCTCTCTCTATCACTCTTTCAGAGTACACTTTGTCACCTCATCGTATTTGCGATCAGCTTCTTCGGCTAATAATTGCGCTTCCTTCAATTGTGATTCCACTGTGTTAGCACGTTCTTCATCTTGGAATGAACGATTTTCCATAACTTTGCGAACGCTAAATCCCCATTATAATACAATCATTTAATTATATCAATGTTCTTTTTCTCTTTTCTACTACCTTCCATTTAATTGATAAGTTTCACTTCAATTTATAACATATTTCTTTTCTACAAAAAAAAAAATCAAATTATTTTATTTGAAGTTTTGCTTTTACAAGAAAAAAAGAAAGAAATAAAAAAGAAAAAAATGTCAAAAGTCATTATTCAAAAATTTTTCAAATTTCTACTTTTATAATTTCTAAATATACAAATTCTAATTTAATTTCATGTTAATTTCTTAAATATATATTTCAATTTCTTTTTTTTGCTACAGAATTAGCTGTTATTATCTATCGTTAATTACAAATATTAAATGAAAGAAAAACCAACCGCCAGAAGCCTTCTTTATCCTCTATCTGTACAAAATGATACAGAAATGGGAGATAGAAAGATCTAAAAGAATAATAATAGAAAAAAGCAAAAAGATGATTTAAAAAAAGAACTTAAAAAAAAGGAAAAAAGCTGGCAACTTAAATTCATTCGCTGCTTAAATTTTTTGTAAGAAAGAAAAAGGTTAATAACAAACAAAAAGCAGAAATAAAATGATTAAAAGATAATACACATAATATACATTTATGTACACGCACACATAAAGAAATAGAAATAATTAAAAAAGGAAGATCCAGGAAAAGTGAATGAATGTTTGTAAGGTAAATAAAATGTAAACAATTTCCATTGCACACACGTTGGTTTTATAAATTTTACAAAATTTATGAGTAAATTTTAATATGGAAAAATTAACTTCTCTTCCATCTTATTTTCACCATTTTATACTATTTTCTGAATTTCAATACAAAAACTAGTAACTAAATTTCAAAATAAGCATTAATTTCTTAAATGCTGTATATATAGTTGAAAAAAAAGTGTCACAATCCAAAGTTAGATCATCAAATAACACTTATTATTCAATTTTCCATTCTCCAAAAATCTAAAAATACGAAAAATTCAAATAATCTTGAAAAATTTATATCTTTTAAATATTCAAATACAAATTAATCAATTAAAAAAATGGTAAGTTGGAAAGTAGCAAAGTAATATTGAAGAATATTGTTAATTCAATAAGAAAGAGGTAACAGCACAACCTCGTCTGATTTATTTTCCGTTTCAGCCAATAATGCTTGCGTTTCCCGTAATTTATGCTCCAATTCACCGCATCGATCGTGATCCACGTCGATACGATTTTCCAATGCTTTACGTGCACTAAATTGATAAGAAAAAAACAAAACACATGTATTTTCCAGCTGGTTAAATATGTTGTTATTTTAAAGTTTTGTGATATGAAAGAAAAAATAAAATTAACTTTTTTTCTTTTTTATTTGTAATTGCAACAAAATATACTTTAAAATATTGAAAAATATTATTATTTTATAACACTCAGTATATTATAATTATTAGTTATCAGTTAGAATATTATTCATGCTACTCCCGTTTCACTGATAAATTT